AAACTGTTCAATCACCCCAGGAAAAAGCACAGAATTTGGCAAAGTAATTCAGAAGTTCTGGAAGCTGAAACCAACCCACGGAATCCCAGACGACCCCTGGACAAATCCGTGGGCACCAGCCTGCAGGCCCCTGCACAGAGAGCAAAGCTCAACGCCAATAAAATGTCACAGCTCAAGGAGAGGGACGTGGCAAAGCAGATGCACACTCTGCACGGGGCTCCTCTGGGGATGGCGCCTCCTGTGGGCGGCTCCCACGGGGCCGAGGATGGCGGCCACGTGGGCTCCTGCAGCCTGGTTGCTAGGCAGCGACACTCACTCTGTGTTCAACGCTGAACCACAGACCGAATTTTCCAACGCTGATCTCAGAGCTCAGTCGCTCACACAGCAGAAAAGTCACATGGCTACGGGCGGAGCAAAGAACTCCTATTTAGCGCCTCAAAATAACTGATGGATGACAAATGCAAGAGAATCAGAAGGAACAAAAGCACTGTGGGTGAATCTGAAGCCCTTCTCTAAAAACTCGGAGACCGCCGAGACAGCCCGGCTGACTGACTCATGGAGGGGACACAGTTTTATCTGCATGAGCAGCGCACGACTCGCTGGCTGCAGGCTGGTGGGAATGAGATCAGTATTACGGATGGGAGGCACACAGAGCAGCTCATTGTCTGGCCCCACCAACAGACGGGCCCTCATTGCTGGGTGCGTGAGGATGAGCAGGACAGTCCTTCCCCAGTGCTGAACACACCAGCGAACGGACTGGTCCCTGTTTCCCTGACCGGAAGCCTGAAAACGCCCCACGGAATCTGGCTTGAGCTCAGTCTTGCAACACACACAGAATGAGCACATTTTAATTTGTTAAAAAAAATTTTTTTTTAACCTGGAAGGCATTTAAAAGGCCATGGACTCCACACCCATTGTTTCAGAGCTTACAGCTAAAACTCGGATCTCCTCTACGGACAGGGAGACCACGACACAGGGGTCTGCAGAGCTAAGGTGCACCACTAAGCCAGGAACGACGCAAATACCTGCTCCCACAGAGGTCCGGGTGCTGGGGACCCCCCGACCTGCAGACTCGAAGCCCGCTGGCCTCCCCACTCTCAGCAGTGTCTGTCCACTCAGCACTGCCAAGGTAATGGCCACCGTACACTCAGAAAGAGCGAACTGTATTGTATGGGAATATAGCAGGGAACCCTGCTATAAAAACTCTTCAAGTAACACGTCCGACACGGAGCTGAGATTAGTGGGTGACAGATTCAGGAAACAGGAGCACGAGGATGGGTCCAACAACAGACTGATGCTCTGCAAAGCGCCCCTCCCAGGACTCCGGGGCCGAGAACACGGCTTCCTGGAGGCCTTCCCTTCTGGAAAGCTGTGTCCGGACAATTCCCAGACAATTCCCAATCCAACCCTTTTATGGTCACAATCTGTTAACGAGGGAGGACCCCTCCACACGCGAACAGCACATTAATTCTCTCTCCTGGAGAAAACAGCATTACCTACACGTGACCAATCACCTTCATCCTGTTCTTCGTTATTTCAAGAAACAGGCAGTTTATGGAGTAATCAGCAATTCTGTGTTCCCGCTCCGACCCTATGCTTTGTTGTCCCGGTGTCCAAGCATGCATGTAACTGAAGCCATAAGAGGAAGAGGATCTGCCAAGCAGCGTCTCAGGTTCTGGGGTCCGCACGGCACCACCCTGCCAGGTCCAAGAGCCCTTCCTTCCAGACGGAGCAATCCCACCAGCTGGAGAGCCAGCACAAGCATTTCACTAGGTCTTACGCAATCACAGGATAACCTGGAAGCCTCTTCCAGTTCATATTTCTGTGGATAGAACTGGACCCTGTGAACAGACAGTTGTCGGTCCTCCGGATTCCAGAGGGACTGCCACAGGCTGGGAAGGTTCCAGTCACAAAAACTCTTGACTCCCTGGACACACAAACTCCTTATTGTGCTCCTGGCAGGTGTCAGATGCAGATCAGCTGAAGGAATCAATCAACCAACTGATGCACGTCCTCCCATCCTCTGTCTACTGAAATCCTACTCCTTCTTTAAAACCTAGCTTAAGAGGCGTCTCTCTGAGAAAATTATCCTCTTTTGATCTCCCAAAATATTTTGCGCCCTCGTTTCTGTTAAGGAATGCATCACAGTGTGTCACACCCTTGTTCTTGCATCCGTCTCCTTGGGCTTCCAAAGGCACCATCTACCCCTTACTCAGTTGGGGGTTACCAGGACATGGCACTCGGTTTAGAACAGGCCTTTGATAAACAGGCAGGTAGAAAGACACAGTTTAATTAAAAATTTAACAGTGGGGCGCCTGGGTGGCTCAGTTGGTTAAGCGACTGCCTTCGGCTCAGGTCATGATCCTGGAGTCCCGGGATCGAGTCCCGCATCGGGCTCTCTAATCGGCAGGGAGCCTGCTTCTCCCTCTGACCCTCCCCCCTCTCATGTGCTCTCTCTCTCTCATTCTCTCTGTCTCAAATAAATAAAATCTAAAAAAAAAAAAAAAAAAAATTAACAGTGGTTGATGATTCCATTTTTCTTTTCATTCGCTCCACAAATACTCATTGGGCACCCACTGCAGGCCCAGTCACAGAGCCGGAAGGGAAACAATGAGGGATTAACGAATTGTAGAGGAAGTCGCCCACACACTCATCAGTTACCAGTACCCTGGCTTCTTAAAATAAAGCACTGTAGTTACAGACCGTTCTGAAAGAGGGCGCACGCCACCACTAAGAGCCGCAGCGCATGAGGTGACATGGATTCTGCCCGCCCACAAAACGGAGCAGAACGAATGTCTATGGATGGCAGACAGGTCTGTCAATTAAATTCTCTCTTTAGGACAGTATGCAAAAAAGATCCTCCCCGAACAATTGCTTTCACCAAGGTTACGTGTGTGCTTGTTCAAAGGGACATGAAAAGGTCACAGCAAGTCTGCAGAACACGATCGTGTATGTTTCCAAGTATTTTCCAAAGTCTCTTGAACTTTGGATACATCAACAAATTTCTCTTTAAATTGAAGAATGAAGAAAACCGGATACTCTCCAAAGTGCCACAGTTTCTTCTCACGGACAATGACAACCATGTACCTGCCGTCACAGATAGAAGCTCGTAGGAATGCTCACGGCGCCTGTGTCCTTTCTTCCATGGACAGTCGACCCTTGAACTTGGCTTTAACCTGTGCGGGTCCACTTCTATACAAGTTTCTTTGATAAATACAGGGCAGTCCCGTAAATGTGTTTTCTCTTATCATTTTCTTAATGACGTTTTGTGTCCTCTCGCTTCCTTTATTGTTGGAACACAGTATAGGATTCATATAACATACGAAGTGTGTGCTAGCCAACTGTTGATGTTATTGGTAGGCCTTCCAGTCAACAGTAGGTTTTTAATAGTTAAGATTTTGGAGCGTCAAATTATATATGAGGATTTTCAACATACAGGAGGTTGGTGCCCCTAACCCCCATGTTCTTTAAGGGTTGACTGTATTTTAAAAATTGAGTCTTCCTCCTATATGCTTTTTAATATTGCTAATCGATTTGAATCTTATTCTAAGTTAGCTCAACAGAGTCATAAATAAAAAGAGTAAGAAAACGTAGTGCTGCCTTAATATGCAGTATCTGTTCTACAGGTCATCTGTCCCTGATGACTTGGGCGCAAGCAGGCAATCTTAATTACAAATACCTTTTAACACTGCTACCATTATAAACACACAAAGGCATGATTTTGTTCGTAAAACCAAGACACACGTTGGATTTGCAACCAATACTGACAAGCAATTTAAATGGGCTTTTACAAACTTTTAACAAATGAGATACCCAGGTTGAACTTGAGTAAGATCTTACCAACATGCATCAGTTTGGAAGAACCCTCCCCTTCCCTCCCCACATCACTCCTTGGTATATCCCTGCTGTGGAAAATCTGTGACACAGTCTGGCATTTTGATTATTCGCTGAGACTTTTGCAATTCCTTTAAGAAAGACTTAGCAGTTAGTGATTCAGGACTGTAGGACCTGTAATACCGTGCTTGAGGACATGGTCTACCAGGCCGATGACCCAACCAAGTGACCGACTATTAACGTCACACAAACAAGAACAACGGGAGACCTCACAGCAAATTAGACCTAATGCTCATCGGGCCCTGTTCCTGTGAGTCCAAGCGAACGTGCATATGCAGCCAAAAAAGTTACAGGGTTTAAAGGCACCTTCTTCTGAACATGTCAGAAGCAAAATAATCTGAAAGGTTGTCCAATATATTTACATCACGAATATTCAATATAAAGGCTCATTCCATGTATGAAAAGGTTTACTGCAAGTCCCCATTCACTCCATTTGGTGTATTCCACAACTGGCGCAGAGGCTGGTGAGTAAGTGAAACTAGCCAGGCTTTATTTGGATTAAAAAAGAGAAATGGAAGGAGAAAGTCATGAATACTATACTACGTTCAAAATCTACAGTCCGAAGACCATAAATATTACCAAGCTGTTGAAGCATTGCGGAAGTATCAGGACACCCTTGGCTCATCTTGGCTTGTCAGGACCTGGCACCCCCTCCCTGGGGAGCCTGGGGGAGGCGAGAGAGGAGGGGCTGCGCGAGGTGGTGCACAGCAGAGCAGAGCCTACCACCGAGGTCCACACGCTAGAGGACTTCCATGCACGCTCAGGAGACAGGAGACAGAGCCCTCACTGGGGGAGGGCTCTGAACTGGGAAACGCAGAAGAGAAATCAGACCTGGGGAGACTGAACGCATCCTACATGGCGGGGTTCCCTGTAAACCCAAAGGATGCACACCAGTGGGGACAAGCTCAAAGATGAGGGTCCAGTGGGCCTATCTGTCTACATTTATCAGCCAACATAAAGTACAGGCTCCAAAGATGGTATCGTTCAACAGCCTGACCATTTCCGTGGATCCTTGGATGCTGCCGAGGCCGAGGAAACAGGGCCTATCCGGTTGGCGCTGACGCCGGCCCCAAGACGCGCACGCACATTAGTAAAGCGTCACTTACTTGGCTTAGCGTTGGCGACCACCGCCAGGCTCTCGGGTGGGTGCACAGGGGGACACCTGTTTTCTCCAGCACCATCGTTTTTGCTATACTCTATTACTTCCACGTGTCCAAGAGGAACGCTCCACTTTAATAAATACCTTTGGCTGGCTGACATTAGCGTGTTGCTGTCCGAGGTGCTGAAAGGAGGAGGCATCGGGATGTTATGATTCATTACAGGTGTTAGTCAGGATACTTTTCATCCCTTAGATATTCAAGTGAGAAACACATCCTGCTTCTGCCTTTCTTACACACAGTTACCATTTGGTTCTGTAAAGTGGCCTCCCAGTGGATGGTAGGAACTCTTCACTGCTAATCTTGGAAGACGGGAGAACACGGGATGCTGATCTCCCAGAAAACTCTCATGTTCCCATAAAAGCTTAAAAGGAACATGCTGGAGGCTCCCTGATGGATACTTGAGCCAAGATTCTCATGCGTTCTGGCAAATACTGTTAACAGGAAAATCTCCTATGTGCAGAGATATTCTCTGGTTATTTCGTATCAAAGTTCCTTTTTTACTCTCAGTTATAGTGTAACTATTTTAATAAAATTAAATCTTGTCATTATGCTCCATGATTAAAATACTTATTATGTATAAATTAAATGAAAAAATCCCATGACCTATGTAGATTTTTTTTCTCCTTTTACCATAAAATGGAGCATACATGAAGAGAAACACACAAAGCATGGCTGTTCAGATAGGCGGAAAATGCTAGAGCAGACACCTCCTTGACCAGCACCTACTCAAGGCTACAAGGTTACCAGCAGCCTGAGGCCCTCCATGTGCCAGGAACCCGCCCCCCCCACCCCCCTGGCAAGACAATCACTGTTCCTTACTCTGATGATTATCACAATTTGCTTTCTTCAAGATATACATATTTTTTCCAATCAAAATGTAGACAGGAATAACCAAAATGCCGGAGACTATTCTTTAAACCGAAATACTTGGCGTGTTGGAAGCCAACTGGTACCCAAGCACTCCAACTTCCCTCTGATGTTAGAGGGCTTTACTTTTCTTTTTTTTTTTTTTTTCAGATTTTATTTAGTTATTTGAGAGAGAGAGAATGAGAGAGAGAGCACGAGAGGGAAGAAGGTCAGAGGGAGAAGCAGACTCCCTGCTCAGCAGGGAGCCTGACGTGGGACTTGATCCCGGGACTCCAGGATCATGACCTGAGCCGAAGGCAGTTGCTTAACCAACTGAGCCACCCAGGCGCCCAAAGGGCTTTACTTTTCAATGTCTAGTCTGCGTGGGAAGGGGAAGGAGGAGAAGGCAGAACTCAGACACTGAGTAAGAAAGACTGCGTGTTCTGTGAGTTAGGTGTGCTCTCTACATAAAAAGACAGGCCCATGAACCTGGCCCCAATTTCTACTCATCCTGTTGTAATCTAAAATCCTCACTCCTACAGAGGTTTGGGGGACCCTGCTGTTCTGATAACCCTTGGGGCCATTTGAACACTTCAGCCTGACCAAAGTGGGTCGTCCCTTCACTGCCTCCTGGGAGTGTCGCTGAGAACACGTCAGTGGGAACTGAACTCTTGCCCTTTCCTCACTTTGTAGAAGGTCATCCGAACCCGGGATCCCTGCCACAGCCCGGGTGTTATTTTAAGGAACAACCCTGGTAGTGAACACAGATAAATCCATTTTTAAGAGTTCATCCACTTCTTGTTCATCTTGGAAGTGTATTTGTCAGCTTGAGGTTTTTAAAATGACATAAAATTTCAAAAGACCCAAACTGACTGAGGGGCACTTGGGGCGCCTGGGGGGTGGCTCAGTCGCTTAAGCGTCTGACTCTTGATTCTGGCTCAGGTCATGATATCGGGGTCGTGAGATCGAGCCCCGCATGAGGCTCCGTGCTGAGCGCCGAGTCTCCTTGAGATTCTCTCTCTCCCTCTGCCCCTCCCCCACTCATGCTCTCTCCTCTCTAATAAATAGAATCTTTAAAAAAACTGGCATATTTTGCAGATTTATTCTGTAGCTGCCTCAGAGCAGGTGAGGACGAGGAGGAACCATAATAAAAACAGATAGTTACCAGGCAGCACCGTGCCAGGCGCAGAGCTGAAGGGCCTGACAGTGGTCCCTGGCCAGACCCTCCCAGGAGTCCCAGGGATGGCTGGCTTCCCCACCATTACTCTGCAGAGCGTGGGCGTGAGGCTCGGCGAGATGGGGTGATTCTCCGGAGCCCTGAGAAGGTTGGAACCCGGGCTGCACAGCATGAGCCCCTGGATGCCCAGCCCCGCCCCGGACTCCCTGCTGGGGCTCCTCAGCACCACAGGGCGGCCACCACGGGAGGACCACAGGCACACATGCTGGCTCCCACCCGGTGATGTGCTCACGAAGGCCTAACACCCAGCTCCTGCTGGGAGAGGGAGCCCTGCCTGTCTCACGGGCCAGTCTCTGTGCTGTCAACCCCCGGAGTGGACGAGTTCGAGCTGCCAGTGGTTTGGCAACTGCATCCCCAACTCCTGAGAGTTTAACGGGGCCTCTCAAGCCATGATGAGCTGCTCAGGACACCACGCCAACGTGCGCTACTTGATAAAGCACCCAGGGCACTCAGCTCAAAACATTCACGTCTGCCTCAGTTCCCTTACCGTCCCTCTCTACCTGAAGACACTAACTCCTCAGATATCGTCAACCAGCTACAACATTCTAGGTGTTAGGGAGCAGTCCTGATGGTAAATGACTTTAAGGATAAGAAATGATGAAGTGGTATGCACTCATTTTCTTGGTTCACAGTGAGTATAAACGCCACCGATATAATCATACAAGAAAAACGCTTACCAAAAACGTCTCCACAGGGAGGCAGCTAAAGAGAAAGGATGTGAACAATGATCACAACAAGACTGTAGAGTGATTTAGGAGGGAAATAAAAGAAACACAATGCAGCTTCTGGTTCCAACATTGGCCTTACGTTTAAAGAAAAATATACCATTCGTCCCGAATTTCCTCCAGCAGTGACCTTGTGACTTAACACTGGACCCGTTTAAAAATACACTTGTCTAGGGGCGCCTGGGTGGCTCAGTGGGTTAAGCGTCTGCCTTCAGCTCAGGTCATATCTCGGGGTCCTGGGATGGAGCCCCGCATCGGGCTCCCTGCTCGGCGGGGAGCCTGCTTCTCCCCCCGCCCCCCACTGCTGCCCCTGCCTGTGCTCTCTTTCAAATAAATAAAATCACTTTAAAAAAATTAAAAAATAAAATAAAAATACGCCTGTTTAGGTCCTGGTTCCCCTTCATCACAGGACGAGGTGACGAAGTTCTGCGCACATATCGGGGCAGCTTGAATGGGAGCATTAGCGGAGCCGTCCACGCATCTGGGACGCGGCACGTTCCCGGGCACAGAGCCGATCCCGCGACCTAGGCGCATGCTCACCGTGCACTGACCGTGGCGCACATTAACACATCGCTCAGCATGAAGATGCGGCGCTCCTTGGTTTTAATGATCTCCCCTCTGTCGTTGTAAACGGTTTCTATCATATCGTCGGATCGCACGAGGTACCGATTCCCACTGCTGAGAAGCTGAACATTCAAAGTCACACTTGACATGCTTCCCGCAATCGAGTTCATCAAAAGAAGAAAAAGGGTGAGCGAAAGTCTTACAAAATACAGGAGCATAAAGCGTCAAAACTTTGCAGATTTTCCCCTTTACAGAGAATTCATGCACTTCCAATCGTACTTTATGTGTATACTACGCAGAATTCTGAGAGTGGCTTTTTTTTTTTTTAACTACATAGTTTCATGGACAGTGTTTGGAGCTATTCTAAACGGTGTAAGGAGTCTAACCCAGCCCTTGTAAACACAATTCCTCCAGCTAACAGATACTGACTCAGCAAAGGAGGGCTCATTTGTTTTCACCTGTCAGTCATACTCCTTCTCTTTAAATGACTTGCCCCAGTATAAGCTCCATTCCTTACAGACTCTCATCCACAGCCGGCCAACCATTGTTATTTATAACTCTATGCCGACCAGAATGTTTTATGTAAGTGCAATAGCTACTCGGGGATTTTCGTGTTCCAAAGGATAGCATAATTAAGAAAACATCTTAGCTTCTTGTGATACGCCATATTTCATTTCACTGAGCCAAACACAGTACCTTTGGTCCTTTGCAGAGATGCTTTGTACTCATTAGTATGGTAAGTCATATAGAAGTCAGACTTATAACAATTCAGCCCAAAGGAACATGGGGAATTCATGTTCAGATGGTCTGAACACCCAAACGGTGTTCTGATCCTTTATCCGCAGTAGCCAGGCTCATGGTCAACCTATTCTTGACATGCTCACGGGGATGATGAGACTGCGTGCACAGGTTTGGGATCGCTAGCAAGGGACACACACCACTTCCTCATCGGCCTTACTCTGTCCCCACAGATTTGCAAGCACTGTTACCACAGGCAAGCAGGATCCTAAACAACATAACCATCACTTAACGCAATTTTCAGCTCATAGAAATTCCTAAATAAATCATTTAGAAGATCAGGAAAAACCTGTTCCTCAAAATGTATTAAAGTTCTTATAGTTAAGCCACTGACTGTCACTATCTGGTAGGAAATTACCCCTACAGACAGAAATGAAAGTGATTTTAGCAATGATAAATACGATATGGAATTATTTAACACCGCTTCTATCAATGAACCTCTTCTTGTGGACCAGGGCTGTAAGTAAGTATGGTGAAGTCTACATAAAATCAGCTTGCTGTTGCAGGAAGAGGACTTGTCAATATAAAGCAGAAATACAGCCTAGGAACTGCTTTCATGCTGTATTTTCCTCACGTTTCCATGATAAACACAGCTTAGTCCATGCAAAGACAGGTACAGATAAGAACGTATGTAACATCCTCTGCTTTGATTACGACCATCTAAGAGGAAACACCGCATTTTGGCAGTAAGATTCAGACCGTGTGAGGGTCTTGTGACTGTGGGAGCCCCTTCCCCGAGAAAACGCGCCCGGACCCGCCCGATGCTCTCCATCGACTTCTGAGGCAGGGCCCTGGGCCGCGGCATCACTGCAAAGCTTCCAGAAGATTAGTAGCAAGTGGCGGGAAGAATGGCGGCTTGTTAGTACAAAGCAAACTGAATCCCAGCACAGACTGAGAAGCCTCGGTCAACCTTGTTCAGGTATCTCTCGTTAATGGCTTTGGCGACGTGCTTGATCTCGCAGCGCTGGTCGGCATCTCTCTTTCTCTCATTCAGCTTCTCCGCTAAGGTTTCCAGCTCTGTCAGCGCCATCTGAAGGGGCAGCCGGTCAGGGTGGCCTTTGGATGTATTCTTCAGCATGTCCTGGGGGAGAAAGACGGTGAAAAGGAGACGTGTGACTGCTGGTTCCGAGGGCGCAGGTGGCTGCCCACACACGCTCCCAGCTAGGAGCCGCGATGTCTGACGGCCGCATCAGCTACTTCTGGGGGAGGATAAAATAAGCACCGGGGAGAGAGTAATAAGCCAAGTGACTCGCGATTTGGATACACACTGGAACAGCTCCTTTTGCAAAAACAAAATGAACTCATTAAATGGCTTTGCTAATGGAAAAAAAAACAGCAATTCCCAATAAAGGGCACCACAAATATGAACGTGCCACATCTGAGAAACATCCCACCCTCTGTAGCTACGTTCAAGGTAACTCCGGCCTGTCTCTCTCAACCCGAGTCGGACCAGCGGACCCAGGCCCCGAAGGTCGGCTTCCAAATGCGAAGTGGGCGGCATTACTCCTGTGCCTCCACCCCATCCCTGCTGCAAGGGAGCCACACACCCTCCCGTCCGTGTCCGCAGGGTCACCAAGGGAAGCGGAGGTTGCACGGAGGACGAGGGAGCGACAATCTGGTGACCGACAAAACGGCGCCATGTGCATCCATCGCGGGAGTCGGCATTCAGGAGCAACATCTAAGTGACAGTCCCGAGGGGGTCACCTCACTTTTCCACCGGACCCTTAGTGTGTCTCAGCTGGCTCACGCAGACCACACCGACTTCTGCTGACGGAGTCAGACGCGGGCGGAAGCACCCTTCTCGCCCGGCCGCCCCGAAGCTGACGCCCGCTCAGCTGGCGTGGGAATGCCACTGGGCCCTCAGCTTGTGACCTGCTTTTCGTCTGAAGAAACCAACCCTCCAGAAGCGATGACATATTTCCGGTCTGAAAGGACCATATATACCGTGCTGTACACGCCTGTTTCCCTACGAATCACTTCAAATCCTATCAAGGCCACGAAGTCATGTCACGACAATTCTGGCTCCAAAGTCACGAGCTGGCGGAGCCAGCCTGGGACCTGAGCACGACCAGGACGAGCACCACAGCAGCGGAGCTGTGGAGGGGGGCAGGGGGTCCTCCAGATGCCGGGAGAGAACCGAGTAAGGAAAAAGGGACGTCTGTCGTTCTGTCCAGACTGAGACTCATGTTGGCCCAACACGGGACAGAGAACGGCAGCAGGATACAGTGAGACAGAGAGTCCTACGGGACCACGTGTCCCAAACCAGCGGGCCCGGAAAAGCCGGGGCCATGCAGCTTTACCCTGGATCAGGGAAGGCTGTGGGGTCCCAGCACCACCAGTAACAGGGCCCAGGAGAGCTGGGATCAGTGCAGAGACAGGGAGAGCAGGTGCCTGATGGGCCAAAGGAAGGGGAAGGAAGCAGGCCGGGCCCCATGCCATCCCTCCCCACGTGCGCAGAGCAGAACTGGGGAGGGAGGGAACACGCCCGCCCCGTCTTCCAGCCCGGCCACCAGCCCCCGCGTCCCCCTCAGGCAACAGCTCCCGGAGCATCTTCACTGAGAGCAGGGTCCCTGGGCGACCCACGCAATTCTGTCAGCCGCACAGACTGCACCCTCTGAGTCCAACCGTGCATCTTCCTAAGTGCCCCAGACGCGCCCTGAGCCACCCCCTCGCCTGCCAGGGAAGCCACTCACAGAAACCCGGGAGCTCTCCGGTGAGCCTCCTGGTGCCCAGGTAGACGGGGAGGGAGGAGGGAGCACACACAGGGACTGACCTCACCGAGCCCACGGGCAGCCGGGGGCCACAGCACACCACACCTTCTTCCAGTGCAGAGCCCTCAGGCCGAACTCCGAGAAATGCCGCCCAGGACCACGCCCCTGCTCCCGGCCGGCGCGGGGCTCATGCTTCTGTTCTTTCCCACGGCCTTCCCACCCTTTCTAAAAATATATAATTTGGTAAACACCTGGGCCAAAGGTTTGCCATGATTTATTAATGGCCAAAAGCTGACGAGCTAGATTGAAAACTACACTCAACTTTAATTAACTAAGAACAAGAAACTATTCATGAGCGAGGCGTGAAAACCCAGCAGGGTCGTGGGTGACCAGTGATAACCAGGCATTCACTAGCATGTCACCAAGCACAGTCTGCATGTGAGTTTGAACGTGCGCCACGTGGGTTATAAGGCGGTTATGTCTTTGCCCTTGGTCCCTGTGTCCCCACCTCGCTAAAGAAGGAACTGTCTAACTGGTTCCCTACCGTCTTCCTTCCTCACCGAACTACCCACCTGGAGCCTCCCACATTTGAAGAGCTCGGTAAATACCGGACAACTGGAGGAATAAAACACATTTTCTGGATATTTTGATTTTAGGGGAAAGCAAACAGCTTCTGTTATTAACACTCTAACACGGACGTTGGGAACCAGAAACTGGATCTAATATGTACATATGATAACTGGACACTCGCTGGAAAAGGAACGTGGAAGAGAGGAAGACAGAAACAGCCCATGAGACTAGCCATGGAAGCAGCTGATACGAACAGTCTGACGTGTGTGTGCTTTCGCCCTCGGTTTTGTGAGCACTTTACCTAGCAGGTCCGCTTCTCACAGACTTGGACGGCCACAACAGCAACCACAACCTCAAGGGAAGGGGCCTCGGCAACGATGCCGAGTGCCGGCCCATTTCCAGGGACGATGTCGCCGTTCACTTTTGCTGCATTCCCAAACGCAAGCCACGCCGAGCCGCCTGAGGAATCTGAGCCGGCGCGGACTGACCTCAGAAATGCCACTTCAGGCAGCCCGCCATCCGCCTCTGTGCGGCGGGGCCCCCGGCTTTGGGGAGGACAGGGTCTGCACACAGACCGAGCGCCACATGGAATGCGTCACATCTGCCCTCAAAACCAGGTTTGTCGGAAACAACACATGCACCAATTTGAATGCTCTTAGTTTTCAACCACTTGGGGTCCACGGGCGAGCCTCTCCACGCACCGTCTGCAGACCGCGCTCACGACAGGCACGGTTTGCCCGAATCGTGACTTGGGCTCCTGAGCCCCCCGTCCCCTCTGGCCACAGAGGGTGGATCGTTTTTCCACCAGACCCCAGACCCAGACCCTGACCTAGACCCCGCCCCAGAAGGGGGCAGATTCCTTTCTGTCCCCGGGAACCCGCGTCCGGCCCCCTCCGCCCCTGCAGGAGCTGGCTGGTGAGGGTCCGCGGCCGTGTCCACGCTCGGGGCCTGCACCCCCCGACTCTGCCCCCCCGTAACCGCTCGGGGAAGGAGGATGGAGGAGGCCGGAGGCAGAACCGGGAGCACAGACGTGGCTTTCAGGCAGATGCTGGGAAAGGTGTGCGTCCTTACCTGGAGCAGCAGAATGAACTGTGGGAACCTCTGTATGGGCTTCATCATCAGACTGTAGAGCGTGACGCGGTCGGGGCTGGACTCCTGGCACTGCTGTGGGGAGAAGCCCGGCTTACTCGCGCTTCGGGGCTGCGGGGGTCCCCACCTCGGTCCCACCACAACACAGATGCCTCGGCAGGCCCAGAGCCCACGCCCGTCTTCACTCAACGGAGACAGTGCGTGCAGATTTGCCGCAAAATCCTCCCCACACCTGGATTGCACCACACACATGCTTGCACCTCTGAGTCCAGAGCGTGTTTGCATTCGATGCTTTACGGGCCACCTCTGACTGCCAGGCAGGGTTTGTCCATTTACAAACGCATTTCAACCTTCTAGGGACTGAGCTAGTTTCTGAGATTCTACAACCACCTGAAAACTGCATTTACAAAAAAATAAAGAGGCGCCTGGGTGGCTCAGTCGTTAAGC